TGAAGCGGTAATGCTTCCACAAATGCTCCCGGAAAAATGATGTCTGGATCCGGACCAATGATGCGATCATTTGAAGCCATTGTTTCGAATACGACTTGCACCCAAAAACTGGAAATGGTGCTTTTGTTTTTGTCGCGGTTGTGCTTGCCCTATTCATCGAGTAATGCTGGCACTGGTGCCGGTCGCGTCATCTCATTCAAAGATGTTTTTTGTTCTCAAAGAAACGAGGAATGGCTGAAAGGCGTGACCACAGCGAAAGAAACTTGCGACGCACAAGAGCTCGATGAAAACCCGTGAAGCTGGGCAGATAAAGAGTTTTACGGGAGCAAGAATGAATTCAACAAACGCGAAGAACTCGAAAACTCGGTATTGCCTGTGTCAGAACTTAGTTAACTGTCGTGGTGTGTTCGCTTCTTACTGCTACATGGATTTTGATGATATGGCTGCGGATGTGCAGGAGCTCATCAAATTCTTGGAGATTAATAGAACCTGAAGGGAAAACCGTGACACTCGGCGCACAATTTCAAGAAAGAGATTCAGAGGAGAAAGAAGCAGTGTTTGTGTTTTTGAAAAGCAGTGGGTGAACTGTGCGCATCACTGCAAAATTCACCCGAAGAGTGATGGACCGCTTTCCTTTGGTCTCTGCCTAACTTAACTCAGGTGCGCTTTTCCCAGCAAATGAATTTCGATGATGACTGAAGAGCTGCAAAAATCTGCAAGTTGGCTGCCAATCTTTATGGTTTGTGAAAAAGCGGAAAGACGAACGCAGTGCTTATTTTGCTGAAAAGCTATAAAAGTTACGTGTCAAAGCGCGAAATTCACAGGAAAAAATGATGAGTCGAACCACAGCATTTCTTCCAGTTCTCTCAAAGCCAAAACTACATGTCGCAACCACCTTCCTACATACCTGTGTGGCCTAGCTGAAGTTCTGTCCTTCAGGTTATTAATTGCCAGTTCAATAAGGCTTGACGTATAACAGTGATTCGAACGTGATATGACTTTCGCTCTTTGCTCATTTGATTTTCTGCTTATGTGATACGCATTCCTGAGTGATAAGAATTGGTTTTATCATTATTTATTTGTGGCTTATCACCTGTAATTCTTGTAAATTTCGTTTTACTTTGTTGTTATGCACTGTTACGCCGTAAACA